CCCACGTGATATAGCAACGGAGGAACTTTTTTGATATAGCGACAGAGGAGCCTGTTTGTTTCAGTCTGCTGAAGTTGCTAGTTTTCACCTTGAAATTTAGATTCTTACCCCTATTTGAAATTCCTGTCCTTTGCATATTCGGTGGAGTTGATGAAACAGTTGGAGTGTACTACAGAATTTAATAATAAGCAAAAATATTTTAATTAAAATAAATCTTACAGCATAAACTCTAATCATAAATAATTATTTTTATCTGTGTTAGTTATGATTTTAACATTGTCTCCTAAAATACATGAAATGTTCTCACGTGATTTCTTTTAAAGAACATTCAAATTGTTACATATGTTGTTTAAAGACAGCGCTGTTTTAGGTTTAAAGATTGTGAAACCCATAATTCAAATATAAGATTATTTCTTGTAGGCTGAAAGAGAATAAATCTGACGAATGCCAAACATTTCCGTTAAATATCTTCTGAAGAATTTTAACAAAATGAATGAATAGGGACTATGTGGAGGAATACGAAATGTAACGCTTTCAACAAATCATGCAAATTTGGGAACTCTGCTCTCTGAATCCACGGTCTTCCCATTACACAATGAATCCACATACTTTCCCGATTGAAATTGGCAGACAAGAGCGGTGAGTACGAAAACCTGCATTTCTACTCCAACGCTTTTCCCAATCGGAACTCGAAGAATCTTCAGAAATATTGCAAGATGCTCTCGCCTCTTTCCATGTCTAAGCTTTTCGCGCGCCTGAAATAGGAAATCGCTCTCGAGAGCCGTCGACGGTGAGAAGGCGGCCCATTCTACCCAGTACCCCGAGCTTCTGAGTTCGAGGACTAAGAATTCCATTAAATGGATTTCCGCTTCCATTTGAAAATTCTATTAAAATTTGCACTGGAACCTGCCGCTGTTGTTGAAAGGGGGGGCATATCATCAAGAACAGCGCATTCCGCATGGACTGCGATTATTAAGAAGAATCATTGGCAGTTGGGAGATTTAATCGAAAGGGGACACGAAAATTCACGACAAATTATTTTCGGGGGAAGTAGTTCATGAATTTAAAAACCATACATAATAAGACCCATGAACTGTGAAACGAGTTTCGCTTTCGAGTTTCTCAAATACATTTTGTCGTCACGAAAATCGTTTACAGTGTTTCTGTAGTGATCTATCTTTTTTTCTCCTTATTTGCTCAGCGAAGCCTCATAAAAGTCATGCCATCAGAAAGATACTTTTATGCGGCTCTATTTAGGTTGTTTATGATGTACTATGTTTGCTGAAATTTTTCTTTCTCTAGATCAAATATTGAAACCAGTATTGGATTCGCTCCTCCCAGCCAATTTTCTTGAATGTTTTTACACACTAAGATTTAAGGCGACGCATTTAAAATTCGATCGGTCTTTTTAATTTAATGGTTGAAACAGTTTTTGTTACAGATTTGTGCATTAATCCTTATTTAAAGCTAATTAAATGTTTGAAGAATTCCCATCTTTTCAGCATCGGATAGTTTTAGAAATAATTTTTCATACAACGTTTCTTCGGGGAATCTTTAACATAGTTTCCTGATATTTGGGTGGTTTTTCAAAAGTCGATCAAATAGTTGCTAACAAGGATAGTGTTTATACTTAAACAAAACTGTAAAAGAAAAATTTAGATTAGTTTCTAAGGTATTTTCTCACTCCTTTATGCAACGTTTATGACGTCGTAGTGTAACGTTAGCACATTTGGCGCGTATTCGGGAGATCCAAGTTCGAGTCCCGGGAGGGCATTGCACATTTTTCACAATTCCTGTTTAAAATAACCTAATGACTTTACAGTGGTGCCCTAACTAAAAGGTGGTGGCTGATGATTCTTCACCATCCGTACTTGACGATTATGTCCACTAATCCCCAGTCTTTAAAAAAAAAAAAAAGGAGTATCCGTGGTATTTCCTCCCTCCTTCCAGCATGACTTGGTGGTGTAGTGGTAGCACTCTCGGTGCGTATTTGAGAAGCCAGGGTTCGAATCGAGCGAGGGAACCGCTCATTTTTCACGTCTCCCGCTTCAGAAATCCTGATGACTCTTCAAGTTTACAAGTTTAACGTTTATATCATCAAACAGATCAGATGATTCGCATGCGTGTTTCAAAGAAAAATGGTGTTGTGGCTATCAAAAAGTATAGAATAAAATATTGATAAAACTGCATTAAATTACGCGGGATTGATTAAATTAAATTATAATATGAAAAGCAATTTTTTAACCACCACAATATTTTTGATCATGTGTAATTGAAAATAAAAGCGTGAATGCTCCAAGAAACATAAAGTTCGGCTATTATCAGAATTTGAGAAATAACTAAAGTGACAAAATATAAATGGTACACAGCATCTGCCACTACTAAAGTAAATTTTCCGCTGCAAGACTATTAGAAATCTGTTCGTGCGATGCGTATTCGTGCACTTGCACAGTGTGTATCTACGTGCTGTCTGTTATCAGATGGCAACACAAATTTGTGCATTTATAAGAAATTCTACGGTCAACAGCAACAACTACAATAATAAAAATAATGATAATTTTTCTTCTTAGATGCCACAAGAAATAAACTCATAGGCGCCGTATACCCCGCAAGCCACTAAGTGGGCACAATTATTTTATAAAACAACATTATTTTTAAACAACAGTGTAGCTGTAGGGTTTTAATTATTTTTATTAATAGTTATTTTAATTTGTGAGACTTTCCTGATTTCTTTTATTCCCCTCGTATTTCGTCGTCAGGATGTAAATGAATTAGTGTGAACGAGAGTATTTGAACTGTGGAGCGAAAGCATTAGACAGAGCGAGTTTTCGCTGTTCTGCACGCACGTTGCTATTATCTTCCAGCTGTTAACCTTGATACAGGCTACGCATTCTTGCCGCCGAGGTCTTATTCTGCCGGTGGATGTTCTGAGGCAGCCTGTGAGCTTAAGCTGAATTGTGTAGTCTCTTTAACTTTAAATTTAGTGTTATATTAGCCTTTAAGTTCTCATCGCATGTTTGTAAGCACGTAAGTCTGCGCCATCTGTAAATTATATTGTATTCAATAAAATGGTCTTTTACACCCTTTTCCTGGTTGTGTTCCTCTTCAAGCCTGTGCGAGAATTTGCAAGGATTAACAGTTAAGTAGATCTAGTTATATTTTATGATAGCTAAACGAACTCTAAATCTTACATAACAAGATCATCTATTGTTACTGTGCAATTAGTAATTTAAAAAGATAATTTTCGATGTCATGTATAAATGATTCATATAAATATGATATTCCTGCAGTCTTCAGGCAGTGCTTAATAGCCGAGCAGCGGCCAAGCGATAAAGTCGCCGAAAATTGGTGGTTCGGCCTGGTTGCGATTCTAGGCAAATGAGCTGCTTGCATGTGTGTTCTGTGATTTGCCCTATGTATATGACCGGGTTTCCCTTCGGATATCCTCTACGAAAGCATCCCTCCCCTTAGCAATGGTTGATATCGTGATCGACCCATTATAGCAAAGCCCTAGCGTGCTTTTTCATAATCAAATAAACCAACGAAACCAACATTTGTTATAAATTATTTAGCACTTTTACTAATGCAAATGTCGACTAGTGAACATGAAATGTAACTAAAATATTTACATTGTAAAATTCTGTAGAGATAGAAACAGTGGTCTTATACATGCTTATACTACTTGAGCTAGTATAAGATCTCCTTGAAGTGCATTTTTTTAAGTTGACTGACTAATGGATAGGGTTATACAAATGTTAAAATTTGTATTTTTGTTATTTACGATAAATCGCGCTGGAGTAACTTTACAATATATGACTTAGCAGTTATCGCAGAAAGAATTAAAATTCCTGGATAGTGTTTTGGAATGATACAGGTGGAAGGATGTTACAAAATTCAACTGCAGGTTATACAAGGACAAGAACTGATGCAGCATTCCCCGTGCTGTCATTACTTGCTAAAGTGCTCTTGGTGAAGTTTATTAAGGAAGCAGTTACCGTAATATTGCGATTAGTTGAAAAATATACATAGGTGCAAAAATAGACATATATCTTTCAAACTCATTTCGAATCACTCGAATTTATTTTTGACATTGCTTCTGAGGTCTGCTTCTCCTTCAAAATGAAACGCGGTATCCATACCTAAGTTGCAAAACAGAATCAACATTGTAACATCGATAAAGTTATAATTTAGAAATAGATAAATATTTTAAGTTTTATCCCAACCTTTAACAGCATTTTCCTCAAGTAACGATAAGTTCGGGAGATATTCCGTCTAATCTTACAGTAAAATTCTTGTTTCTTTAACATATGCTAACATTATTTCACAGTGCTGCACTTTCACTTGCGCCGAGTGTATAAAACCACTAAACGGATTCCATAAGGGTTCAAATCTAAACAAACGAGATGGCGGCATGAGCGCTTTCGCAGTTCTTTTTTATGTCTGCCGTAAATACGAGTCATTTCACCTTAGAATATTTCCCGTGATGTAATCTCTGCTTTTATGTAAATGGGCCTAATTTGCTTTTCTAAAATCGTATAATTCACTCTGAATGTGTTTTACATGAATTTCAGACAGATTCGTTGCCTGACAGACATTGACATTTTGTGAGTAATTTGAAATTTCGCTTCCGAATCTTAATATTTTTCTCGTATTCCATTTCAAACGATAGCACGTTTTTCTATATCAAGAGGTTATATGCAGGGAAATTTATATTTGGAAAACCGTAATTCTTCAGATGGCAGAAAATACACTTTTATTTTTTGAATTTTCGAGGAATGTTTTTAGAGAATAGAAAATTCCTAAATATAAGAAATTAAATTTCTTTCAGAAAACGGGACTGGAGAGTTTTTTCCACGGTATTCTCTAACACAATCGCTATTTTGGTTCACTCTGTATACTTAACTTCAAACAGATTTTCTTTAATTGCATTTTAAGTATTATTCTTTTATTATGACACGGACTGTTGGTTAACTGAAAGTTATTTTCCTGACATTTTATAGCCTTGAGCAACATCCAAGAGTTTGTGGAAACGACTATAGTGCTGAAGAAGGACAAGAAAAACGAACTCGGATTCAGCATAGCCGGAGGCAGTGATTCTTACCTGGTAAGTGTTGGAAAATAATTCCTTTTTGGTAAAAGTATATGTAAGGGTAACCCTTGGCGAAACTTGGCGGTATATGGATACCGAGTTTGTGCAATTCTTTGAATTGTTATTTTGGCTTGCGTAGCGGCGATTTTGAAGAATCGCACAAAATCCGTATCCGTGTACACATCGACCTATTTTCACTTAAAAAAACATTTCAGAATTGCACAAAAATGGCATTGCGCACTCCCTTGACTTTATCCATGTACACATCGATATAATTTCATTTAAAAAGTCAAAGGAGCACCCAATTCTACGGTAGAGGCAGACAAAAATGCACAATCTCAATAAACTACATTTTAAACCAAACGATAAAATAACATAAAAAAGGAAAAAGCTGTTATGCATATAAGCACTATACAAAGCAAATACCCACTTACCTTATTTGAAAATTCCTTCGTCTTCAGTCTGGGGCACAGAAAATTCCTTAACAGCATCCAAAAACCTCCTAAAATTATCTGAACTCGAATCCGTATATTGGCGTCGCCACACAAATTCCCAAAAATAAGAGTCAAAAATATCCTACGTAGTTCCGGACTATCCGGAAAATGGCTACAACACACACCACAAAAGCCCTTACAAAACATCCCATGATTCAAAATTTCCCAGAATAATGCAAACGATTACGTCGTAATAGGGTTTCCATAACATTCAGCTACTCAGGTTACCATAAATGAAACAACAACTTGGCTGTAACTGAAACAACAACTTCGAGATAATACAAGGGGTACCCTAAAGTCAACTCTAACCTCCTTATTTCAACTAAAACGATCTTTAAGCGAATTTCCTTCCTTCCCCTTAAAGATAGTATTGTTTTAATTCTGTAAGCAAGCATGGCAGGTAGTTGTCTTGATTTTTAGATTATTTAGACAATCTAGAGTTAGTGATTACATTATTTCAATATTTCCTTATTCGCTTCTAAATACGCTTCCTTTTTTTAACCCCTTAAAAACACTTTTAACATGGGTGTGTTTCTACATTCGATGGTGGCTTAGAGTCTCAGACTTTTATGTAAAACGTATGTCTTAATATTATGTCTTAAAGTATGTCAAATATTTTTTCCAATTTTATTTTACATCATAGTCATTATGATACGCTAACTTACGCTATTATGATATTCGTCATAAACGCGAAGGGGTAGTGTTATGTATGATACATAACATCTTTATCTTCAACAGTCTCCTTTTTCAGTTGCTGTTCGATATGACACAAAAATATTACGTTTGAAATTATAGCTATATTTTTAACAAACTGAGCAATTTAACAGTAATAAACATATCTTCTTAATACTAAAATTTTTGTTTTGTTTTCCTAATTATAATATTGATATAATTTTTAAGTATTTAATTTCTAATAAATTGAGCAGTTAAGTTTTAGGAATATTTTCTGCGTTACTGTAACAAAGAAAAGGGTTATAACGTAACGATTTTGGCGCAGGGTAGCGATATTTTACATATGAAAGGATAAATTACTAAGCGGGTGCAAATTGGTGGTTTCCTCTTTCTCCCCTCCCTTTTGAAAAATTCTCATACTATCGATATTTATCATATGTCGGTAAATATTATCGAGACATGGAAATAAACCATACGTCAGCAATTTAAATGTAATGTTTTTTGCTTTCTTCTTCTCCCGAAGTACACAGCGATCCATTTTCGCTTAGAAAAGCATTAGAGAATTCTTCGACTTCTTGCAAACTTCGACAACAGCGACTATCTAGGAAACGTATTTCGTTGTTGTCCATTTCAGAACATGTTGAGCAAAATTCTATATTCCTGCAGTTTCCTAAAGTTTACCTCAGTTTCTTCCATTGTTGGCATATGACCCGAGGTCGTATTTTAAAACTAAAAAAATATCGCTATTTGTTTATAGAAACCATTGGAACTTGGTAAAATATAAAAGAACGCATACGAAAATAGCGCCGTTGCTTGATTGAAGGATTGTTATGAGCATTGTTGTCGGAATAATGGTTATACGCATGGTTACCTGAGTTTGGAACCCTTTGAAAATGTGGCGAATTCTACTAAGGTGGTTGTTTAATACGATCGTATCTATAAATATGTTTCTAATGTAGAACTGCCATTGGAACCGGAAGCGAGGAAGCTGCCCAACCGACGTTGTCTCCACCCCCCTTAACTAATAATAGATTTGATCTTACAGAAACACTCTCTTGCATAAATGTTTTACAGTGTTTGTATCATTGCGGGATATTTTTCCTTCTTGCTAATAAAAAATATGTTTCTACATTGTAATTGTGTTTCTCGTGTTCGCCGTTTGAATTATGCCTTAATGAGGTAAGAAACTTTGATTCTGTTTTAATATTTGCTTATCGTCAGTTAACTGCGTTTAGATGGCAAACGGAGGTAATGTACATTCTTTCAACCTGTGATTACGAGACTGAGTGCAAGTTTACTTCATCCGAATATGTAAAACATTCGAAATAAGCTATTACGAATAAAAATAAAATCAGAAAAAGAACTCTGTCAGAAATTACTACTGGATAATCGTAAGAAAAACCCACCTTTTTTCCGAAAACAGAAACAAAACTAATATATTTTGTGCACTCGCATTTGAAAAATAGAAGAAAAAATTGTTATTAGCTGCGAAAATAAATACTCAGAAGGAAACTAAAAAATAACAGCTATCAGCTACGAAAATATAAATTGGAAATGATTCTGGGATTTAATCCCAAACGATTAAATCAAAAGAAATGACCGTTGAGTGTATAACACAAGATGAACAATCACAAACTACCATACGTCTACTCGTAGAAGACAACCAAATCATACATAATAAGAAATAAAAAACCAGCTAAAGATATATGGAATGAATTAAATAAAATTTACGAGAGAGCACACTTTACTTTTTGCGAAAATTGTACACGTTAAAAGTCGAAAATGAAAGCAAGCTCGGAGAACACTTGAACAAAACGTTCGAGAATTGGAGAAGAAATATAGGAGAAATATATTGCTTATGAAAAATCTAAAAAAATCTTATTGCAGCTTTATAAGATGATATGCCCTGAAAAACTGATCCTGGAATACATAAAAATGAAACTGACCGACAAATGCTGGAGAAGAAACGAAGGCACAGATGAGACAAGTGCTTTCAAAACGAATTTTAGCACAAAATTCAAGCATTTCAATGAGCGAAGATGCAGTTATTGCAAAACGTTAAGACATTTAGAAAAGGAATGCAGATTGTTAAATTGCTGCAAAGGTAAAAATGAAAGTAATCTGTTTTTCAAGAACGAAAAGCAACCGCATAAAGGAAACTAGGGAAATAAACAAAAAAACAAACAAACAAAAAAAAAAAAAAAACGAAAGTTTATGCAAACGAGAGTACACACGACGAGAGTTCCATAAGATTGATAATGATACATTCGAAGTTACCAAAGACAGAAAATTCCCAAGCTCAAATTGGTCAGTTGATTTCAGGTGCCACATGTCATATGACCGATAATATAAGTTTTTTCACGAAATTAGATGGAAGCAAAACGGAGTAAATAACTATTTCTAATGATACTCAGATTAAGTCCATAGTTATTGGAGAAGGAGACTTGTACTGTGTATAAGACGAAGATAATGAAAGAGAAATAAAAGTCCTAGATGTTTCATACGTTCCTGATCTCACTCATATCCGTGAATAAAAAATAAGGAAAAATTCACAGATAAGGGATTTACATTTGAATTTGAAGACGATACTTGCGAAATAAAGAAGAAAAATAAAACCACAGGAACTAATAACGCAGAAGGAAATTAATATATCTTAATCGAATCACACAAGAAATAAAGCCAAAATTGTAGTTAAAAATAGCAATAAAAACATGCTGAAGAATAATAAGACACAGGCTGAAGAATGATAAGAATGGACCGAGAAACGGCAAATGATGTAATGAAAATGTTGCCTCCGAATCAAAATGTCGGAATTGAAGCTAAATAACTACAGAGCAAAAGCAGTTGTGGATTTATACATTCAGACATTTTTGAGCCGATTCGCACATCACTAGAAGTAACTACAGTTTACTAGTAGTTTAGAATCACTAGTAACTACAATTTTGGAATTATAACATTCATCGAAGATTATTCGAGATACACAAAGGTCTAATAACTACCTACGGCAGATGAAGCTATCTCCAATTTTAACTATTACAAAGAACAAATCTGGAAAGAAAAATCTGAAAAGAAAAATAGGTAAGAGAAGAGAAAAACTGGAAAGAAGTCTTGAGAACAGATAATAGAGGCAAAAACACAAAGAAATTGAAGAACATCCAAAGGAAGAGGGAATCGAACATCAAATGTTTTTAGCATATTTACCACAACAGAACGGTAAAGAAGAAAGAAAAATTCGCTATATAATGGAAATAGCAAGTGTCTATTACTCGATTGGAGTCTCAAAAGGGAATTTTGCGGAAAAGCCGTAATGATAGTTACCACATATATAAAGCAAACTGCTATCAATACCAGTCGAAAAAACGCAATACGAGCTCTGCAATAATAAAAACGTGAATTCATGTCGTATCAGAGTTTTCGGCAGCACATCTTATTGGCTAATTCCAAAACTGAAGAGTAAACAGCATGAAAGAGGAGAAAAGTGAATTCTTATTGAATGCAGCGATCATACCAAAGGAACGTAGAGATCGTACAAAAAAAAAAAAAAAAAAAAAAAAAAATTATAAAATGGCCCGTATACAATTGATACGCTATAAACAAACAACGTTGTCATCTCAAAACAAAGGTAATATTTGATGAAAGCAAAAATTAAGCAAAAGTTAATCAAACAAAACATCAGAATGAAGAAATACAACTTCCCTTTAAAAGGCGATGAATCGGGAGAATCATGTCTAGATGCTGCAACAGAAAGATAAATTGAAACAGAAGAAATTCCCCTAGTACCGAGAAATTATCATAGAACGTCCAAACAAATCCCACTAAACAAATTTTCATACATAGCAAAGAAAGAAA